ATAGAGCAATTACGGATTTTAAGAGATCATTTAAGGACCAAAAATAATTGGCATACAGTTTAATTTAAAAAAAGAATATTTTGTTTTAAGTAAGTATAGCAAAATAAAATTTTCGAAAATTGTTTCTTTTATTAAATTAATTTTAAATTAACTAATAGTAATGGATGTGGAGCAAGTGTGGATTCTAAAAGAGGATTTAAGGGGCAATTAATTGGCATACAGTTTAATTAAAAAACATAATATTCTGCACTAACTTCCTTCCGGTTGAGTTAAATATAAAATTCCAGTCACTGCAAAATTAAATAAAGAAACCTCAAGTAACCTGGATCTGCACAATGTTTTTTTAACCATTATTAAATGTTCTATAATAAAAATTACATGTTATAAGAAAAAGATTATTAGTTTATAAGGATGATAAATTGTTGTTAAATAATAAAAATTTTATTACTTTACATTTACTCTTTTTTACAGGATAGGGTAACAAACATGCACACAGTCCACCTGATGGTAAGTGGTTGCTGTGGCCCATAGACATCTACATCTATCCTCATTTGCGAATCAAAATGCAGATTCGTTGTCACCTGTGAGGACTAAGGTGAGGGTGTGGTCTGTGCTGTACTGTACAGTTACAGCCTATTAAAGTTCACTGCTGAACATAGGTCTCCCCCATAGATTGCCTCATAGGGCATAGTTGCCACGCTTGTCAGATGGGTTTGCAACCGCAGTTTTACATTTTTAGTTATTAAGAAGACACCGCTCTCCATCTCCTGATTAGTTTCTCTCTGTCGCTTCTTAAGACACCCACGGGATGATATGGGTAGTGGATATCTTTACACCACCACTAAACTGTTTAAAACTGTGTTCAATCTTAAGCTGACAAAACCCCTTAAATATAACGAAAACAAGTTTCATTTTAGAAGTGTTATTTAGCAACCGTGTTCACTATTATGTTGTTAACAATAGGAGCATTATCACTCTTTTATAACATAAAAGTAACAGCCTCAAGGTCCACATAATGGTAATGAGTTCAGTGCAGCTCATTGACATTAGTAACTAACTTCAAGCAAAGATAACTAGATACTTAATTACCCCTTAGAATAAGATGGAAACCTCATAGTGAGGCAAGATAGTCAAACACGTAGGGAAAGGGAGGGAATCTGAATGACAGGGTGAGAAATTGTGTGATAAGAGGAAAGTGTGGTTTGAAAGATAATTTTGTGACCTGGATTAAGAAAGGAATGCTTTAGCGGCTTGGTCATGTAGAAAGAGTGACAAAACAAATTTATGCTGCAGAAATGATTGACAGATGATGCCCTCGATAAAAGTATATCTAACAAATTGGCGATATATTGAAGATTGGTCAAATTAAGAGTATCCTTAACCAATGAGTAAAAGAGACGAGAGAGGTGTGTCAGGTACGTGCCAAATGGAAGTCCATAGTCTCTGCCTACCCCCCTAGATGACAGGCATGAGTGTTTATAGATTTATACTTTTTATAGGAAACCTCATAGTCGCACTTCTAGTCTGTGGTAAAAAATGTATAATATAATATAGGATAAGAGAGAGGGTTTTATCTATTAGTTCAAGCAAATATAACTAGATACTTAATTACCCCTTAGAATAAGATGGAAACCTCATAGTGAGTCAAGATAGTCAAACACGTAGGGAAAGGGAGGGAATCTGAATGACAGGGTGAGAAATTGTGTGATAAGAGGAAAGTGTGGTTTGAAAGATAATTTTGTGACCTGGATTAAGAAAGGAATGCTTTAGCGGCTTGGTCATGTAGAAAGAGTGACAAAACAAATTTATGCTGCAGAAATGATTGACAAAGGATGCCCTCGATAAAAGTATATCTAACAAATTGGCGATATATTGAAGATTGGTCAAATTAAGAGTATCCTTAACCAATGAGTAAAAGAGACGAGAGAGGTGTGTCAGGATCGTGCCAAATGGAAGTCCATAGTCTCTGCCTACCCCCCTAGATGACAGGCATGAGTGTTTATAGATTTATACTTTTTATAGGAAACCTCATAGTCGCACTTCTAGTCTGTGGTAAAAAATGTATAATATAATATAGGATAAGAGAGAGGGTTTTATCTATTAGTTCAACATCCATTCAAGTTTCATAACTGCATATAAGAGCAAAAGTATATGTAACCAGGTTAGCCAAGTTGATTTCCTACAACTGTTAACACTTAAGGAAACTATAAAAATAAATGGTTATGACGTTCTCAGCTTTCCAAGAGCGAGGTTGATTCCAAACAATAGTCAAAGTATAAATTATGTTTAATACCTATTATTATTCAATCAATATTGAACACTTAATAATTATTTTATTATCTTCAATTCTATTACAATTTGTTACACATTGTCATGTATTATGCTATTGGCAAAGGGTGGCAGGACAACTTCTTTACAATTGCTGTCAAAATTTGTCATACAAGCTGAATGGTGTTGCAACTATAGCAAATATCATCAATATGAGGCATCAATGGTGGAGACCTATGTTCAGAAGTGGAAATTACTTGATAGCCACAGTACTTAATGTAGATTTCAATAATTTTTATTTTTTACTTATTAATTCATTCTTTATTGTAAAGTGCTTTAACTGGGCATGGGTCTTTTAATAAGCATCAGCTGTGTCACAGACAGTCTTCCGTACAGAAACCTGCATGGATGCTGATAAGAATGCAGCTCCCATCCTAGTGGAGTCTTCTGTGGTCGCCTACTACGGGGCTAAGAAACATGGCATACCAGGGTCGCTCCCGCAACATCATAAAGCTGTTTGAATTCTTTGTGGAGCTAGTGTGCCTTAAATAGCATACATAAAATATATAAGTATATACACATAACACAAATTTGAAAATTATATAAAATAAAGTGAAATTTGAATATATTATCATTTAATGTGCCCTCATTTTCTATCAGCGTTAATGTAAAAATTTAACTTAGCTAACAGTGCTATTGTAGGTAGATATGGTAATAATTAAATGTAATATGCACACAACACAAAGTAATTGAGTTCAATAAATTCACTTGTAGGAGGCAGATTATAAAAAATGATAAAAACACTCTACTCTTAAAAGTCATGTATAACTACACATATAAATAAATTATATGTGGTAGAGCCATACTGCTGCTATATTACTGGTATAGTTGTAGCACAAATAGGTAGGCTCGACTGGGGAAAGACCACACTCTCACAGAATACCAGCGTAAAATAGCAACTTAATGCTGCTGTGTTTCGTATGGTGGGTGAACAGTTTTTCTGTAATACAAGGCATTCCATTTTAGTCCTCACGGGTGACAACACATCTGCATTTTGATTAATCATCGGGAATAGATATGGATGTCTATGGGCTATAGCAACCACTTACCATCAGGTGAACTGAGTGCTCGTTTGTCACCCTTATTTAATAAAAAAAAAATATTTCAAGTGTCTATGAGTAATATCGAAATAACTAGTTTAAATAGCTAGCTCTATTTAGACATAAAGAACTATTTTAAAATGTTTGCCTGTCCATCTATCTGTCTGTTTGGGCTAATCTATTAAATGACAGAACTGATTGTGATGAATTTTTACAAACAGATAGAGAGCAATGCGAGGAGAGATTTAGGCGATACTTTATCTGCAAAACTTGAAGTTTCTTTAAAAAAAATGCTCTTCGATTACCTTATATTCTACTAGTTGGAACCGGGTGTGTTATTGCCACAGAAGAAATAATTGTGGGCAAATATTGTTTTAACTTTGGAATGCTTTATATTAAGAATGAAAATACATTCAATGAAGTTGAATGACATATAACTTTCTTATAAATTTTTCAGTACAATATGCACGCCACTTACTGTAAGTTAATTGTACTATGCCTATAACCTTCGTGCAAAGCTAGCAATAAGTTGACAAAGTTTTAGTGCAAACTGTATGAACGGTATGGTAGTGCATAAAATATGAACAAGCAAACATTTAATTTTATATATTAGATTTTATTCTCAAATATAAACACTCGTCGGTTAAAGAGTACCTTTAACCCACGTGTGTGTATGTGTAGGTATATGGATGTGGAGGAAGCGAGAGAGGTGTGTCAGGATCTTGCCAAATGGAAGTCCATAGTCTCTGCCTACCCCTCTGGGTGACAGGCGTAAGTGTTTATGTATTATGTATTGTATAAATAAATACCGCCACATTAATAGATCTTATCCAGCCAAAGCCCAAGCAAATTGTTAGTCTAAAATAACAGACAATCAAACAATTTCTCAGTATCTGAATAAATCTAATTTACTTTTTTTAATTCTTTATTTAGTAAGGTTTACATTTTATATTGATTCTAGTAATAAAAACATAGTAAATATAAACCAGTATTGTCTATCTCTAAATTTGACCAAATGTGAGGAAACAACGCTAAGTGCCTAACATTTCTTTGTATTTACTTTTTATTTTTAATATTTACACGAGAAGGTAAAGGTATCTAAGCTTCTACAACTGTAAACATGATCAAAATATCTTTTATTTGCTTAAAGTTTTTTGTTTAGAAAATTGAGCTGTGACACTTTATTTTACTTGCCTTCACGGCAACATATACACATTATTTTATTTTTTGTGCATATCTATAGGTAGCTGAGCATAGGCATCCTATCATTCCTGTAAAGGAAAAGTAAAGTAGCAGCCTATCTACATCCCACTGCTGGTCACAAGTCCCTCATTTTCTGAGAGTTAGTGCAATAAAGTGTATGTTGCGCTGCCCCATTGCATGTTGGTAAACTTCACATAGTAAATCAGCACTTTGGTGCAATCTAGTAACGCACCCAGGATTCTCTCATATTACAGCAAATAACATAGTCCCAGAGACACCACGGCTCTTCGTTGCCGACATGGTTATAATTAGACAAATAAGCAAAGGTTAAAATAGTTAAGTACTTATATATCTATATTAATAAAGCCTCAATACAATAAATTGCATTGGCGAAGTATGATCATGATTGTGGATGCTTACAGTAATCACGTGGATTCATCTTGAGCACCATGGCTCTGTAGAATCTTGAAAACGGCGCCGTCATGTTATGATTGCGGAAGAATCCACTCACATAATCTCTGAAAGCCATTTTAAGGCTAAAACTGAACTTTTCACTACGAAAATACACAGTACACTAGTACACAACACTCTGCACTATTTAGAAACTAATAAAAAACAATAAATTTGACACCCATTATCACTGCATTTTGTGCTTTACAAAGATATAATACGAAAAATCATCATAAAAATATCTTATCATTGTTTTAAAGAATCGAAATTTACAAAATATTTCTGTGTTACTTTAAATAAACACCTATGAGAAATTATAAATTCATGTTAACTAAACGGTTTATTAGTATAACTCGCGTGAAAATTCTTGTTGACATCACGAAAAACAATTCCCGGACCTATCGATCTTCTTTCAGCCGCCCAGCACAAAACAACTTTAGCATAGCATAGGGATGTCGGGTGTTTTTATCGAAATGTCAATTGAATTCATTAGTTAAATGGTAATGTCGATACAAAAATATGATATTTTTTTTTTCTCATAAGTACATTTTAAATATTAATTTTGTAGTAAGTTTAATATTTAGATATATTCTTTAAAGGTTTGGACCAAGACTGATATATATTTGTTGATCTGGGATACTGACTCCATGTTGATATGGAAGTATGGGAGTGATGACATAAAATAATGTGCCAACTCTTTTACTTAGCGTCTCGTTTAAAATAGTTGTAATTAATGGGATATTTGATTGTGCTGTTGTGTAGGCAATTCGCTAGTCATCTATTACTTCTTTAAAATTATCATATTTTTGGCTTCACCTGGTTCGAATGGCTTAAGTAGCTCTTTAGAATTTGCTTACACCCTCAGGGATTACAGGTGTGACGCTATATAAGTTATAACCCAATAAAAAAAATTTACGTGGTAGAGCCATGCTGCAGCTATACTAATAGTATAGTTGTAGCACGAATGGGTCGGCTCGACCGGGGAAGGACCACGCTCTCACAGAATACCAGCGTAAAATAGCAGCTTAACACTGCTGTGTTCCGTATGGTGAGTGTAGAGAACCGGAGACCCTTTTTACTGGAAAAGAGGCTTTGCATCTTAGTCCTCACGGGTGACAACGCATCTGCATTTTGATTATTTATTGAGAATAAATGATGTCTATGGGTCACAATAACCACTTACCATCAGGTGGACTGTGTGCTCATTTGTCACCCTAATCCTATAAAAAAATTATTTCGTATTTTAAGTAGATAAATATTTTAAATTTTTCTAAAAGTAAGTATTATTAATTAGCATTACATGTATTTTATACACTTGATAGACTAAATATAAAGTGATATTTATCTTCCTCTTTAATAGAAACTACGAAAAAAAATTCATGTCAATTAAAAAATGACAATAACAAGTGGATTTTTCGTATATCAACAGTCATAATATATAGTTCCAATAATAATATAGAGATAAAATTTATCCTAATACTAATATAATACTATTATTTGAATAAATTTTATATATTTATTTTTATATATATAATTTTAAATATATTTATATTTTTATATATATAATAATCATTGTGATGTTGGCCGTGTAGTGGTAGTGTAAGCATATTACTACTCCATATCGTCCAATGGGTGTCGTAAGAGACAACAAAGAAAAACTAAAACAGGAGATGGTCAGCAGCATCATTCAGATAACAACTCACAGAATACCGGCGTGAAGTAGAAGCTTTGCTTCTGCGTTTCGTCTGGTGAGTGCAGGTGGCCGGAGGCCCAATCCCCCCCCCCCCCATCAACATGGTAGCGGAATTACACGAAGAACTACCTCAGGAGGGTACCAGCACCCCTGGAGAATCCCTCGCTGAGCATCCACGACCATGTTATTCCGATCCTGAGCGTGGGTGCTCAGGCTGCCCCGCGTATTCTGGGGGGGGCAAAATTCCGCTCAAAAGCATTACTGCTAGGGGCAAACTGAGCAAGAACACCAAGGCGACCCCTGCCACGCTATCCGTGAATTTCTGCAACATCAGGGGACTTCACTCTAACCTAAACGCCGTCCACTACCATCTCGAGACGGCGAAGCCGGCCTTGCTCTTTCTGACCGAGACGCAGGTTTCCTCTCCGGCTGATATTTCGTATCTCTCCTACCCGGGGTACAAATTGGAGCATTCCTTTGTGCCTCTCGGCTCTTCGGACCATTGTCTGATCCGGAGTGTGGTGCCACTCACGCTCCCTTCGCGGTTGCGTTCTGCAGGTTGCCGCCGTGTTTGGCATTACAGGTCGGCGGATTGGGACGGAATGCGGTCCTTCTTTGCATCCTACCCATGGGGGCGGGTTTGCTTCTCGCCGGATGATCCCAGCGCTGTTGCTGACTCTGTCACTGATGTGGTGCTACAGGGAATGGAACTATTTATTCCATCATCTGTGGTACCCATCGGAGGCAGATCTCAGCCTTGGTTTTGTCGCTCCTGTAAGACTGCATTACGCAGTAAGCAGGAGTGTTATCAAGCCTGGGCTGCGGCTTCGGCGACTCGGGATGTAAATACCAGCACACTTAAAAAGAAGTATAACTTCGCCTCCAGGTCCTTCAAAAGAGTTATTGCCAAGGCAAAGTCAGAGCACATAGGCAGAATTGGCGAGAAACTAGTTCGCCTTCCTTCGGGAACCCGTGCATTCTGGTCTCTCGCCAAGGCTGTCCAAGGGAATTTCTGTAAGCCATCACTACCATCTCTGCACAGGGAGGATGACTCACTGGCCCATGACGCAAAAGACAAAGCCGACCTTTTAGGCTCCCTTTTTGCGTCTAACTCGACTCTTGATGACGGGGGGAAAACACCGCCGACCATCCCGCGGTGTGAGTGCTCCATGCCGGATGTGCTGTTCTCACAGCGCTCGGTTCGCAAAGCACTGCTCTCCCTGGACATCCAGAAGTCGAGTGGGCCTGACGGAATCCCCCCAATTGTGCTGAGGACGTGTGTTCCGGAGTTGGCACCGGTCCTAACGCGTCTTTTCCGGTACTCCTACACCCAAGGCGTAGTCCCGAATTCATGGAAGACAGCTTTTGTCCACCCGATCCCTAAAAAAGGCGACCGCTCAGACCCATCCAACTATAGGCCTATCGCGATCACCTCCTTGTTCTCCAAAATAATGGAATCCATTATTAACTGCCAGCTCATCCGGTACCTTGAGGATCACCAGCTGATTAATGACCGCCAATACGGTTTTCGTCGGGGTCGATCAGCTGGTGATCTTCTGGTCTACCTGACCCATAGATGGGCGGAGGCAGTAGAGTCCAAGGGGGAGGCGTTGGCCGTTAGTCTGGACATTGCGAAGGCCTTCGATCGGGTTTGGCACAAAGCGCTTCTTTCAAAGCTCCCTTCCTATGGGCTTCCCGAGAAATTGTGCAATTGGATCACCAGCTTTCTTGTAGATCGGAGCATCAAGGTCGTTGTAGACGGTGCATGCTCTGACTACAAGCCTATTAACGCTGGTGTTCCACAAGGCTGTGTGCTATCACCAACGCTGTTTCTTCTGCATATCAATGATATGTTGCTAACTGGTAACATTCATTGCTATGCGGATGACAGCACTGGTGATGCTCTATACACCGGCCGTGCCAATATTTCTCGGGAAAACGTCGCTGAGTACCGGAACAAACTTGTGTCTGAAGTCGAGTCTTTGCTGAACAAAGTCTCGGATTGGGGGCGACTAAATCTAGTCCAATTTAATCCTCAGAAGACACAAGTTTGCGCGTTTACCGCTAAAAAGAACCCCTTTATCGTATCTCCTCAGTTTCAAGGCACTCCCCTTCTTGCCTCAGCCAGTATCGGTATCCTCGGAGTCGACATATCGAGTGACGTGCAGTTTCGTGATCACTTGGAAGGGAAGGCCAAATTGGCCTCTAAAAAGCTTGGCGTGCTCAGCAGAGCGGGACAGTATTTCATGCCGGCACACCGCCTGCTACTTTACAAGGCGCAAGTTCGACCTCACATGGAATACTGTTCCCATCTCTGGGCAGGGGCTCCCCAGTGCCAGCTCCTTCCACTTGACCGCATCCAACGCAGAGCGGCTCGAATTGTCGACGACCGAGCCCTTTCCGATCGGCTCGATTCATTGGCACTGCGAAGAGATGTTGCATCCCTTTGCATTTTCTTTCGCATCTACCATGGGGGAGTGCTCTGAGGAATTGTTCGGATTAATCCCAGCCGCCAAATTTCACGAACGCACATCGCGGCAGAACTCCCGATACCATCCACACCATCTGGATGATTGGCGGTCCACCACTGTGCGATTTAGAAGATGTTTTCTTCCTCGCACGACCTCCTTGTGGAATCGATTACCATCAGCGATTTTTCCGGACCGATACGACTTAGGGACCTTCAAGAAAAGAGCGTACTCCTTTTTAAAAGGCCGGCAACGCATCTGCGATTCCCTTGGTGTTGCAGTTGTTCATGGGCGGCGGTAGTCACTTACCATCAGGTGAGCCGCATGCTCGTTTGCCCCCTCTCCTATAAAAAAAAACTCAAAGGTAATAAAGAAAACTGCAGTTGTCAGCTCACCTGTCAAGTGTGGCAACTGGGTTAAAATCCTATTTTCGGCAGTCGTCTTACGACTGTAACAGATTTTTTTTATAGGATAAGGGTGACAAACGAGCACACATTCCACCTGATGGTAAGTGGTTGCTGCGGCCCATAGACATCTACATCTATCCTCGTTTGCGCATCAAAATGCAGATGCGTTGTCACCCGTGAGGACTAAGATGGAATGCCTCATTTCCAGTAAAAAGGGCCTCCAGCCGCCTGCACTCACAAAACCAAACGCAGAGGTAAACCACGCTGGTATTCTGTGAGGTCGTGGTACCATCCCGGTTCGAGCCGGCCCATCCGTGCGACAGCAATTCTGCCACGTGGCTCTACAACTGTTGAAAACAGATGGATTGATTTAATCAAAGGTTTGTATATTAGTGATAGTGTAACTTTCAACTTGACCGATTGAAATCATATTTACAAAATATATTATATTATAGCTAAGCGAGGATCTGATAGGTTGGTAAAAATTTACGGCATATACCTATGAACTTAT